TTTTTTTTTGAGCCCCGAAAAAATGGCTAGGCCGTCTTTTTGGGGGTGACTTAATTCCCCCCCCTTGCATCTTCGGGCGGGTGGGCGGCGACAGCTTGGATGTTGACCTCGGTGTTGGTGGGGCACTTCGTATCGGGGTTAATGCAGGCAGCACCATATCCGGGTGTGCCACAAAAGTGCTTCCTAACGGCAAACCCCCCCACCATTCCCCCCCATTTCGCATGTTTTAATATAGGCCTTCATTTGGGGGGAGGGGCTTAATTTCATTTCATGCCTATAAAACATGCTGGGACTTCCTATTGGGGGAGGCCGTATTGTTGGAGAAACAGGGTATGTAATGGTTGTCAAGCACCTGAAATGAGGTCATGTAACCAGGGAGGTTGGCACAATGTTTTACAATGGTTGCAAGTGCTTTTCTGAACTGACATGATGGCAATTTGGCTTCCTAAGAAACCAGATTGCCTACTTTATTTTTAAAGGGAAATACTTTATAATTTTTTCAGGTAGGATTCCCTATTGGATTGTACGGAACTCCTGGGGACATACATGGGGAATAAATGGCTATGCTCATGTTAAAATGGGCTCTAATATTTGTGGTAAGTTTTGATTTGTATTGGATTTAGATGCGAATGATTTCCTATACAACATCTACTGTAACAGACGGTTTGAATTTTCAGGTAGTATCTTGTACACTGGAAAACTAACTTGTGCAATATCTGACAGTAAAGATCATGCCTTCCTAAATATAGCTTAGACCCTTAATTAATATAGCTATAAATTCAGCTTCTTAAACATTATGTCATAAATTGAGACAAAATGGCAGGCAATCAATTGTAAGCCCTCTTTATTTACACATTGGTCTTATTATTAGTATACCTTCACTTATTTTCCCCCTGAAAAGTCTGGATACTTAAAACTACTGAAAAATCTGGATGTGTAATCAAGGGGCGGGGCTGAAGAGACATCACAGCAAAAGCTCTTAATGATCCCTTATTTCTATAATTAAGACAAAAGCCAGGATTCAGTTATATTATGGCTATACTACTATGGCATGGTCTTAGACATGAGATTAGCACAACTGTGGCGGCCTTGGAGAAAATGATAACGGATTAACTGCTCTGGAGGCCTAGAGCTGTCAGAGCACTGCTATAACTATCAAGTAAGACCCCTTGTATGTACAGTGACTTCATGTAGATGGTTAATGGCTGCATTAGATTATTTTATTAGATCATTTTAATTGTTGCATTGGTTATTTAAAGGTGTGTTCATCATTTTATTGTCTTTAGTTTGATATAGATGTTTAGGTTTTGTGTTAAGTTTTATGGATGTTCTATTGTTATTCTATTAACTACTTAGGCTAAGAATAAGAGAAAAATCAAAATACTTCTCAAATGTAAAAGAAATAATAGATTTCTCTAAAGATTAAATGGTAACTTGGTTTCTTGCTCTCTAGGTATTGCTGATTTAGTTTCTGCTGTATCTGTATGAAGGATTTGTGGCAAATATTGAAGATACTAGTTTATAATGAAGAATGTTGCCAATGTTCAGATTGTACCAGTCCTTGGATCTGGGAACAATCTTCCAGCCAGCTCCTCAAAACTACTTGCTGATTGCACAGTCTATACTATTTCCAATTATTTAAATTATTGTTTGATCTACTAGCATATTAGAGCTATGGTGGCACAGTGGTTAGAATACAGTATCATAGTCCACTGCCACAGATTTAATCCTGACAGCTGTAAAGCACTATAAAGCGGTAAATGCTATTAATATATTGGCTATGCTGCAGAATGTATGAACCAACTTCAAAAACATATTTTTAGAAACTATTTTCTTTGATACTCTGCTACTACCGAGATGTATTTCCACCGTGTTTTGTAATCTTTTATATTCTACTGGAATAAAAGCGTATTACTGTGTAGTTTTTGCTTCTCCATGTATGAATTTGATTCAAATTGAATAGAAACCTGCAATAATTGGAATTGCTAATTTGGATAATAGTAGGGTTGGAAGCCTTTTATACATATACAGATATAATTTTGGAAGTGTTTGCAATTAACAGTTGGTCACAGTTGAAATATTTCTAATAGTTTAATAAATTTTAATTAAATGTCTCAAAAGGTCATATGAAACTCTTTTTGTATATTCATGTCAATATCATCTGATATTTTTAATAATAAATATAAACATTTAAAAACCTTATTTTCTTTGCATTTGAACTTCAAAAATTGCTCCCACTAGGATTTTCTACTTTGGTTGAGTAACAACTGGGAAAGAAATGCATGCACATATATCATAATTGCTAATTCATCCGAAAGGAAGGCAAGTCAATTCCATCAACCAATAAGATTTTATATGCTCTCACCTATTAACATTATATCTTTTTGAAATAATGCAGAAAAGCAAGAAACGCTATTCCAAAGAAAGTCATAATAAACAAAAATGATGCACAACTAAATCTAATTTACATGAAACCTTTCAATATACCTTTCTATCTTGTAATTAATTTACTTTGATTATGGCCATACTCTCCTTCATCTACTGCTTTTTGTTGTTTAAAATGCTTTGTTTTTGAGGCTCTTATCAACTATCCCCAACCAATTTTTTTTCCTATCCTCAACCTTTTTTGACTCAGTCATTCTTCCTTAATCCATTTGTTTTGCAATTCAATCTTCATTCATTCTCTCTATCTGATAAAAACTATTTAAACTTTTTAAAAACAGGTCACATATTTTGTATTCAGTTCACTAAGCACCCATTCATTCCTGATCCATGTCTTTTGATCTATCATTTTAATGTATATCTCACAATTCTTAAGTATCTCGTAGCCTTTCAAATGTTCTGTTTCTTCTGATAACATTAGTTCTCCTTATTTAAAAAAATAAAGGTTCCTTCAAAAAAAAACCTTCATTTATTAAAAACTTTTACCATTTTCCAACATGTGCATAACATGTTCCTTCAATCCACTCTAGCATATGTTGCCAATTCTATATAAATATGTGGTTTCTTCAGTTTTTTTTAATATACAGTGCAATTTTTTCCTTTCTCCATCCCAACATTTTTATATTGTTTTCAGGAGCAAGCTTTCATAAGGAAATTTGAAGTTATAATTACAAATGTAATAAATCTAAAATTAAATCTTTATTACAAACTTACTGCAGCAATCAAACATCTTGGTTCAGCCTAATAAGTCAGGTAAAACTAATAAAAGTAAAACTTAAAATTGATCTGGCTATCTCTATATTTTATTTTATAATTACTTACTTGAAATAGTTATATATTAAAATCTATGTTACTGTATATTGTGCATAAATACATATATTTATATATATAAATTATTAGTCTGCATGTTTTAAGTTTTTTTAAACCAGTGCCTCTAGATGTATGTGTCGACTCCACAACTTCCAGGCCTTTTGAAAGCTGTTATTCTGAATCATCACTGCTGAAGTATGAACTGTCACAACATTCTGCCGTGTAAAGGAATTTATGAAGTGTTGGATTCAGTTTTGGGATCCAGCTTCTTGGCACCAAGTAAGTTGAAAGATTGAATAAATCAACAAATACTTTGTATCTGTCACTGAAAAAGAAAAAGAAAAATATTGATGAAAATGGAATTCCATCGTATTTTATAGATAACGGCAAGCTGAAGCTATCCAAGATTTTTACTGTTTTGATGTACTAGCGTCCAGTTCTAATGCTTAAGAGTTGGGAATGGTGAATTCAGGAAAAAAACACCAGCTACCATGTTATGAGCTTTCTAATGATCCCAATGCCTCTTATAATAGCTTTAAAAGCCTAATTATATCCTTAAGTATGAACAAGTGTGGAAAGCCTTTACCTAATGCTCATTAATATCAATAGAGCAGCAAAAGACTGTCTGCAGCAAAGGGACTCTATGAGGGCAAACATCTTTTTTTTTCTTCTGAGAAGAATCTATTGACCAGAAGATCTCAACTTTTTTGGTCCCTTTAAGGTGAGCATTAACAATGGAAAACGTTGGTTGGAATCAACTTGCTGGATTAGATTGAATTTTCCAGAGGAGCATTCTGCAATTCCCTGGAGCAGCTATTCACCTTGAAGATGATAATTGTGCTATGGGGATAATGATGATCTCTTATTAGTCATAATTTATCAAAAGCTGTTTCTTTGACAACTCCATACAATTATGAATTGATTTGCATAATCAAAGGCTAAAGCCAAAAATGACTCCTTTTGGTTCCCATAAGAAGAAATACAGTTTATGTGCAAAATGAAACAATATACAGTAATTCATGCTATGACATATTACATACTATATAAAGTTTAATAAATATGTCTGCAGCTGCATTAAGGCCAATGGATGCCCTAAGCAAGGCCCAATAATGGGTGGGATTCTACAGGTTCACACCTATTTGCTAGAACCGGTTGTTAACATTCTAAGCAGTTTGGAGAACCGGTTGTTAGAAGAAATTACTGGCCTAATCCTGTAAGGAAGGCAGGAAGGAAACATTCTGGTGTTGCTTACAGAAACTGCCTTTCTGTTGACCCTTATTACATTCTTGGCAGGACTAGACTTCCTGTCTCTGGAACTTCTCTGGAGTTATTTTTCCCTCCTTTGCTTGTGTGGAATGATCATTCAAAGTTACAATCGCACTGAAAAAGTGACTTATGACCATTTTTCAAGTTACGACTCCCACAGTCATGAGAGGCCAGGCGAGGAGATGTGTGCCTCGATGTGAGTGATGTTGAGTTGCCCACGCCCAGCCAGTCACATGACCACCAAGCCACACCCACCAACTAAGCCACACCCACAGAACCAGTTGTTAAAAAATTTGAATCCCACCCCTGCCCAATAATGGTGTCTCAAAGGAAGTGAAGCTCTTGCCATGAGACAGAAACAAATAAGATATCTGAAGGACACCTTCCATTCAAGAGTTTTCAATTTTAGTTTGTGTGTGTGTGTGTGTGTATGTATATATATACACACACACACACACACACACACATATACACATTTCAACTTTGCAATTTTAAGTTGAACATGTCAGATAAGGACAATTACAAAAACGTTTGACTACCGTTGAGTGTGGCAATGAAAGATTATAGGCATCTTAACCTCCCTTCTCTTGGCACCCAAAGCATGCTTATTTTGTTTAATCAAGGGTTGAACATGTCTGTTGAAGATGTAATTCTCAGTAATAGAGATGATTTTTGAGGTGATTCATCTGGTTCTTGGTTGTTGCTTTTTAAAGTTAACTGGCAAACTGAAAGCCTACTAGCAGGGTATTGCATAATTTCTCAAAATACCTCTTGCTTAGGAAGGCTTCATTGGTTTTAATATTATTTATCAAAATTCTAAAAGGATTTTAGAATTTTCATCTATGGAGCTAAAGTACAACCATCCAAATGTGTTTTCATTAACATGCAGTTCTTAGAGCAAGTGATCTACAACCAGACTTAAACTTCCAAATGTTATTAGACAATAACATCTATAATCATGAATATCATGGGACTCAAATTGGAAGAGAAAAGCCAGCTTTCTACTGGCTATCAACACCACTGTATCCCACCATCTGAATTCCCAATTACATTCAAACAGATGTTGTCCACATTAAATCAGCAGTGACTTAATATGTTTATTCAAAGAACTGCTTGAAATAAACTATGCAATTAACTATTAGAGGCATGAAGGTAATTTAGACCACTCATAAAAACCTTTTGTCCTGCTTGAATTGTTTACGGCAATACATTTGATGCATTAATTATGAATCCCTTCATTAATCCTCTTGGTGCTTTAAATAATTTTACTAGGGTTCAAGGGAAAATTTTAAAATGCTCTTTTTTTCCCTATGTACCCTTATAGATATGCTTCCCAATCAGACAAATGAAGAAAGTATTTGAGGAATGAATATGTCTGTATGTAGTCCTCAACTTATTACCACTACTTTGTGCCAGAATTTCTGTTATAAATTGTTGCAATCGTAAGTTGAGTCAGATGCAATTTTGCCACCATTTTATGACAATCATTAAGTGAATCACAGTCATTAAGCAAACCCAGATTCCCCACTGGACTTTTTTTGCAGGAAATTAGCTAAAAAGATCACAAATCATGATCATAAGACTGCAGGACACTACAAAGAGTTGTAAATGTGATCTGGTTGCCAAGTACCTGAATCATGATCACATAACTCGGATGGTGCAACAATTGTAAGTTCATTGTCACTTTTTCCACTGCCATTGTAACCTTGGACCATTGTTGAACAAATGATCATAAGGTAAGGACTACCTGTATATACCGTGTTTCTCATATAATAAGGCCGGGTCTTATTTTTTTTTTGAGCCCTGAAAACATGGCTAAGCCGTCTTTTCGGGGGTGACTTAATTCCCCCCCCCTTGCATCTTCGGGCGGGTGGGCAGCGATGGCTTGGATGTTGACCTCGGCGTTGGTGGGGCACTTCATATCGGGGTCAACGCAGGCAGCACCATATCCGGGTGTGCAACAAAAATACTTCCTAACGGCAAGTCCCCCCCCACCATCCCTCCCCATTTTGCATGTTTTAATATAGGCCTTAATTTGGGGGGGAGGGGCTTAATTTCATGCCTATAAAACATGCTGGGACTTCCTATTGGGGGAGGCCGTATTGTTGGAGAAACGGGGTATTTTTAAAAGGAAATTAAATTCACAAGGAGAAAGCATAATTGTGTAGCCAAACATTTACACTCTACCCATAGCATCTTGTGGTGGTTTCCTACAAAAAGATCAATACAAACTCCCTTGTAAACTTAAAACATGAGATCTGCTCTGGAAATATTGCTAAGAAAACTGTATGTAGATGTCAAATAATTCTTGCTTCACGTTCTTATCCATTTTTATGTGAATATGGTATGTGTGTTGCCATTCATAAATAATAACAAAAACTGAAGTTGGTTTCCTAAACTTACCTTACAGTTGAACGTAAATACTGGTAGCCTGATGAGCCTCCAGTCCCAGCCTTGCTGCCAATCATTCTGTGCACCATGCACACATGGTTATCTAAGTGTATAGAAACTCACTTAGTTCATTTTCCATTTTTAGATATAAAAAGATTACTTAACTGTTGTAAATGAGAATTGTTTCATCAGTTCCACAAACTTAAAATTTTATATTAGTATATTCTACTTTATTTATAATTAAATGGAGACATGCCTATTTTATTTCAAAGTGGATACTTATAACAGTTCAATAAGCAGGATTTAATATAGCCTAGATTTACGAAAATAAGTATAAGATCAGAACCTTGGAATATATTTATTACACAATATATTATCACATATAATATTTTGCTGCATTTAAAAAAAACTTAAAAGATAGTTTTGTGATATCATCCCCCATTCCAGTTGAGCAGAAGTAAGGTTAAAATAAAATGATTTGCTAAATGTGCACAACTTTGTGGCAGAACCCATATCTGAGTATTTCAAATTTACCCATCACTTAAACCAGTGGTCCCCAGACTTGGAAATTTTAAGACTTGTGGACTTCAACTCCCAGAATTCCTCAGCAAGCTGGCTGAGGAATTTTGGGAGTTGAAGTCCACAAGTCTTAAAATTGCCAAGTTTGGAGACCTGACTTAAATCATTAGATGCCTGAAGTTATAAGCCAGCTGTACTCATCTCCTGTAACTTTTCGCAATCTAGGGACTCCAGGATGGAATAAATATTCAATCTGCTACAAAATCCTAGACTGTCAACCTTTCATGTTGACTATAATGGCAATGTCAAATGAAAATAATGTTATTTGCATCAAAGGAATGCTCAAAAGAAAACTTACATCTCCATTTAGTCATTAGAACATCAATATCCATAAGAGAAGTAAGAAGCTGAAAAGGAACTTGAAAGCGAGGTTCCTCTCTTAAATAATGATTGAATTTTTCAGTTTGTGTTGAAGCAAAAAAAGAGAAAAGAAAATCCAAGTGAATAAACATAATTACTAAAGCAATTTGAGACTTGCTACAGTTTAATAGCTAAAAATAACCAGAAGAACACAGAAAATAGACTTCAAATTTGCTTCTCAAAATTTGCTATTCCTATTTATATTCTTTGGAAATCAACAAACAGGCATAAATGAAGCTTAGGGTCAAAATAAATATTTAGTGCAGCTTTCCCCCATTTGTTTTCTTATGCTTTTCATGTGGGGTGGATGTTGTGACTGGGAGGTTTGAACCTGCTGTGCGCTTTGAGTCTGATGTGTCAGAAGACACAGGTTCGAGTGATGAGGAGGGTTTGGCATTGGAATTTGAGCCTGCTTTAATGGGAGATGCAGACGTGAGCCAGGAGGATGAGGAAGTGTCGGAATCATCATCCTCTCCAGAACCTTCCATATCAAATATGCCTCAGGTATCAGCAGCTGATCCACAGAACATGCCAGAGTCTTTGAGTGATGATCAAACTGACGAATGTTGGGTTGATGCAAGGACTAGACGTAGGGTGAGACGTCAAGCACAATTTGAAAGGAAACGTCAAATCAGAGACTAATTAGAAAGACTGACACGCCCCTTCAAGGAATATAAGGAGGCGTGTTAGCTAACGATCCTTGTTCGGGTCAAACTTCATTAATTACGTTCGCAGTTTGGAAGAAGCCTTCTGTTTGCCTTTCGGCTCTGATTTATCGTGCAGCTCGTTATCTGGGTTTGAAGACAGCTTCTGGGAAAGCTGCCAACGACGACTACAGAGGAAAGTTAACTCTGTTGTTCCTGATATTGTCTGTTCATGTTTATTCCTTTGGGACATTTGGACTCTCACCTGGCTACAGGTGAGACAGAACAGGTGGATATCCATTTGCAAAAGATTTGACTAATAGCTTTAGATAAGATGGAATCCGAGTGCACTGAAAGGCGAGATTGCCTATAGAAATCATTTGGAGAGAAAGAGATTTCTAGAGAATGCTGTAAGTTGTTTGCACATGCCCACAGCTCCCAGGCTGTTTTTGATGTGTAGAACAGCAAACCACTTACTCTCTCTCTCTTCCCATGCAAGATATCTGCTCTGCTCTCCAAGGTGAGCAGGGAATTAAAAACCACAAATCAGGGAGAGTACAGTATCTATTAGTTGCAAGATGACAAAGGGATGCAGCAAAGCTTGCAAAATAGTCGTAAATGAACCATAAAGTTATTTTTTTTCCAATGTTGTAACTTCAAATGGTTGTTAAACAAATGGTTGGTATGCAAGAACTCATAATCCTAATCCTGCTTGTTAAGGATGTTAAAACAAAAAACAAAATGTTTCAGTAAAGAAATAACACCAGGAAAGCCATTTACAGAGACAGCCACACCTTTTGCATACCTGTAGAAGTATATCATTAACGCTCCTTTCATTGCTTTATAGGACAATCTTCTGTCACCTGCAAAAAATTAAAACGTGGAAAATAATACAGAAATTCTCATGCAGGTGATTTTATGTTGTCTATCAAGAACTGAAAATCCAATTCAACTTGCAATCCCAACTGAACCCCACATTTCTGTTGCTAAACAAAACAGCTGTAAAGTGAGTTTTGCCTCATTTTACCACTGTCCATGCCGCAGTTGTTGCATGAATTGCTGCAGTTGTTATAGTAATACGGAGAAGTGAATCTGATTTCCCCATTGACTTGACTTGTCAGAAGATCACAAAAGGTTATCATGTGACCCCAGGACATTGCAACTGCCGTAAGTGTGAGTCTTTATTCAGTGCCTTTGAATGGTCACTAAATGTATTGTTGTAAGTCAAGGACTACCTGTGTGTTTACTTTTACTGTGCTTACCTTTACTAAAAAGATGTTCATGGAGTTTTTCATCAAATAATGACATAAGTACTTCTTTTTGCTTCTGAAGTTCTGCCATTTGATCTTCTTTTTCCTCAGAGTCTTCTTTAGCCTTTCAAAGACAATTATTCTTTTTTTTAAAAAAAAACATTTTACTTAGCTATGCTTGCATTTGTGGGGAATATTTTTCCTTTGCATTTCATATACCCAGAGCTTTTTTCCACAAGTCTTCTGTTTAACACTTGACAATCACAGTTCCTCTTGTGTACATGTGTGATTAATATAAAACACAAAAATGTCAGCACTAGAAGGAAACTATTGCAGACTTGGATGCCTCTGCTTATGGATCAATTGATAGAACATGAACTTTCTCTAACATGGCCCTTTTGCCAAGACTGTAGCTTTCAACATATCTGGAAGGGACCAACTAGGAAAAGCATGGAATATCCTAAATATGGATGGAAGTTATTGACTCTATACACATCTGTTATCCTAAAGCAAACTTGGGCACAGAAATGAACAACCAGTTTATATTATAACATGAAGGTAATCACATTTATTAATAACACATTTTCTTATATACCCTTAAAAACTGTTTGCTTGTAACTATATAATCATTCTTGAATTAATTTATTTTGAATATTTTTTCTGTTTAAATGTCCAAGTAAGAACTTTAGATTTTGTCAGATTTTCTGGTTCAGTGTCTGAACTTGTTAAAATAAGTCATCCTCAGCACACCGACATTTGAGAACTGAACTATTTGGGAAGACATTCATGCAGTGTTGCTATGAGTTAAAGGTTCTCCCCTACCAGTAGCATCTGCAGGATGGTCAAGGAAAGCAAAACGATAACAGTGGTGCCATGATTGTGCAATCATGATGCAAGATTTATGCCTCTTATATACACTGCTCAAAAAAATAAAGGGAACACTTAAACAACACAATGGAACTCCAAGTCAGTCACACTTCTGTGAAATCAAACTGTCCACTTAGGTAGCCACACTGATTGACAATCAATTTCACACGCTGTTGTGCAAATGGAATAGACAACAGGTGGAAAGCATAGGCAGTTAGCAAGACATCCCCAATAAAGGAGTGGTTCTGCAGGTGGTGACCACAGACCACTTCTCAGTTCCCATGCTTTCTGGCTGATGGTTTGGTCACTTTTGAATGCTGCCGGTGCTTTCACTCTAGTGGTAGCATGAGATGGAGTCTATAACCCACACAAGTGGCTCAGGTAGTGCAGCTCATCCAGGATGGTACATCAATGCGAGCTGTGGCAAGAAGGTTTGCTCTGTCTGTCAGCGTAGTGTCCAGAGCATGGAGGCGCCACCAGGAGACAGGCCAGTACATCAGGAGACATGGAGGAGGCCGTAGGAGGGCAACAACCCAGCATCAGGACCGCTACCTCCACCTTTGTGCAAGGAGGGACAGGAGGAGCACTGCCAGAGCCCTGCAAAATGACTTCCAGCGGGCCACAAATGTGCACGTGGCTGCTCAAAAGGTCAGAAACAGACTCCATGAGGGTGGTATGAGGGCCCGACATACACAGGTGGGGGTTGTGCTTACAGCCCAACACCGTGCAGGATGTTTGGCATTTGCCAGAGAACACCAAGATTGGCAAATTCACCACTGGCGCCCTGTGCTCTTCACAGATGAAAGCAGGTTCACACTGAGCACATGTGACAGACGTGACAGGGTCTGGAGACGCCATGGAGAAAGTTTTGCTGCCTGCAACATCCTCCAGCATGACCGGTTTGGAAGTGGGTCAGTAATGGTGTGGGGTGGCATTTCTTTAGGGGGCCACACAGCCCTTCATGTGCTCGCCAGAGGTAGCCTGACTGCCATTAGGTCCCAAGATGAGATCCTCAGACCCCTTGTGAGACCATATGTTGGTGCGGTTGGCCCTGGGTTCCTCCTAATGCATGACAATGCTAGACCTCATGTGGCTGGAGCGTGTCAACAGTTCCTGCAAGACGAAGGCATTGATGCTATGGACTGGCCCACCCGTTCCCCAGACCTGAATCCAATTGAGCACATCTGGGACATCATGTCTCGCTCCATCCACCAATGCCACGTTGCACCACAGACTGTCCAGGAGTTGGGGATGCTTTAGTCCAGGTATGGGAGGAGATCCCTCAGGAGACCATCCGCCACTCATCAGGAGCATGCCCAGGCGTTGTAGGGAGGTCATACAGGTACGTGGAGGCCACACACACTACTGAGCCTCATTTTGACTTGTTTTAAGGACATTACATCAAAGTTGGATCAGCCTGTAGTGTTTTTTTCCACTTTAATTTTGAGTGTAACTCCACATCCAGACCTCTATGGGTTGCTAAATTTGATTGCCATTGATAATTTTTGTGTGATTTTGTTGGCAGCACATTCAACTATGTAATGAACAAAGTATTTAATGAGATTATTTCATTCATTCAGATCTAGGATGTCTTATTTTTGTGTTCCCTTTATTTTTTTTGAGCAGTGTACTTATTGCAACATTGCATGCATATCAAAAAGGCCAAAGCTTCACTGCGATTCTGCTTTCATTATTTCAACAAAACCAATCACAGCCCATGTATGTGCAGGCATAAATAAATGCAACAGAAAGCTTAAACCAATCCATATGAAAATTCACACATGTATGGAGGTACAATTCATATGTATATGCTCTCTTATTAGAACTACAACCAGGAGATTTTGCTACAAATGAAAGCCACTTTATTTATCTAAGGACAACATGATAAATTGGAATATGTACCTGTACTATTGTGTATTCTTGTTCTAATCCATTAAGTACATTTGCTTCAAATTTTCCCCAGAAATTAAATCCTTCTGGTTCAAGTCCTGGTGTTCTTTCTAGCCATGCCTTATAAAACACAAGAAAATAAATATCAATTGATTGCACCAATTGCAATGTGTGAATTAGCAAGCTGGTGCTTACTGACTAGCCATAGCAAAGCATCAACAGACAAGAGAATAATAGGAGTAGCATCCTTCTTTCTCTTATCCCACCAGAACACCCACCCAGTTTTTAATTCCTTATATTTTAATTCAACTGAGCTGATTTTTTTTAAAGAAAAGGCAGTAATCACATCAAAGCCCAAGACTGGATGAGCCCTTTGATGATCACAACTCTGTGTGACCAGTTAAATAGTAAATGAGAAAAATCATACTTTGACTAGCTGCAGTAGTGATGGCTCTTGTTCCGATTTAAGCAATAATTCAGATTCCTTTCCCTTGAAGTTATCCCGGTAGTGCCTTCTATTATATGGAACTCTCAAACTTTGAGGGACGCCAATCTTATTTTCCAATAATCGAAACTGTAAACTCTGAAATCCTGAAGCTGGACTTAGATAATCTCTTTAAAAATAGGAGAAAGAGCTGTAATTTATTATTCTGCATAAAAAAACACATTTGATTTTGTGGTGTTATTCTAAATATATATGCCCAGTTACAGTATGTGTTTATACAAACTGGAATTAAGTTAAAACTCACTACTTAATTTTTGTTTTAATTCATCCAGAATGCCATCCAAAACATCTGAATCAGGACAGAAACACTGCATTTATATTTTTCCTAAAGGGCTTTAAAAAAGTCATTCACATCTCATGTGAAGTTTCTAACCTAATTCTTAAGTAGCAGGATGTACTATAGACTAGGTCGATCACTTCAGGTTGACCATTTCAGCTAGACCACATAGACATAAACATGAACTAATTAATGAGAGAAGCAACCTAGAATTAAAACAGAAATTTCCTAACAGTAAGAACAATTAACCAGTGGAACGACTTGTCTTCAAAAGGTTTTGAACAGCATTGTACAATAGAAAAGATGTCCTTGTCCCCACCAAAAAAAAAACACCCAACCCCACCATTTTTTTTAAATTTCTGAAATCTTAGATTAGTGGATTTGTGAAATTTCAATTAAAATCTCATGTGAATTGGTGATCTTGTAAAATTTGGCTAATTTAAAAATATGGTAATGTGTACTTAGATGCTACCCATTAATGTTGCATCTATTTGTTCACCACAGACTTGCCTGTTAAACCTGCAGTTAAGCCTAACTATATGTGGTTTGAACTTGCCTACCTTCTTTACTGGTTTCCCCTGTGGTCATTGTTCTCTCCTTTGTAATTTTTCCTTTTTCGTATTTCTAGATTTCTAATCCTATCAGGATAAAAACCTCTATTCCTCAATTCTGTGAAATGCTCATACATTACCGCTATCATCACTACAAATCCTGATAGAGTATTTTGTGAGGGGTCCTTGGTCTCTGAGCTTGGTTGTTTCCTTGCAGATGATTCATTACCCAAACTAGGCAACATCATCAGTTCTAGCAGGGAGTAGAGTTTGTTCTCATTTTATAGGCTACTGGTTGCCCTGTTAATGTTGGTGGGTGTCATGCCCCTATCGTAATCTGGTTCTGAGGGGGAGGCCAAGCAGCTGGTAGGGAGTGGGAGTGTGGCTCCTTTGGCTGTGGAAGAAACTGGGGAAGGACAAAGTCCAGCTGGGCAGAGCAGGGAAGAGGTAGAGCAAGGCAGAGGGAATTCAGAGGAAGACTCAGGCCCACCCCCTCTTCATCCTAGGGAAGAACAGAGAAGAGAGCAATGTGAGTTGCGAGGCTTACGAGGAAGGGCCCTGATTCCAGGTGTGGGATTCTACAGGTTTGCACCTATTCGCTAGAACCGGTTGTTAACATTCTAAGCAGTTTGGAGAACCGGTTGTTAGAAGAAATTACTGGCCTAATCCTGTAAGGAAGGCAGGAAGGAAACATTCTGGTGTTGCTTTCAGAAACTGCCTCTCCATTAACCCTTATTACATTCTTGGCAGGACTAGACTTCCTGTCTCAGGAACTTCTCTGGAGTTTTTTCCCCCTCCTTTGCTGGTACTTTGCTTATGTGGAATGACCATTCAAAGTTACAATGGCACTGAAAAAAGTGACTTATGACCATTTTTCACACTTATGACTGTTGCAGCATCCCCACAATCATGAGGCCAGGGGAGGAGATGCGTGCCTCAATGTGAGTGATATTGAGTTGGCCACACCCAGCCAATAACATGACCACCAAGCCATATCCACCCAGTCACATGACCACCAAGCCATGCCCACCACCTAAGCCACGCCCACAGAACCGGTTGTTAAAAAATTTTGAATCCCACCCCTGCCTGATTCCCTTCATTAGCTGCAGCTGGAAACACAGTGTTTAAAAAAGGGAAGCTACGCACAGCAAAGTTGTTGAAAACAAATCGTGAGTTATTGTCGTGTTATTGTCGAGGCTTATCTGGGTTCCTGGCATCTTCCCAACTGTGTGTGTTTTGTTGACCTCTCAAGTCTGCAATTCCTTATCCTGCCCTGTCAAGTTAATTGCTAATCAACATCCAGATGAGTATAGATAAACTCCAAGATTAACAATCAAGAAGTGTTCAATACCCTAATCAAGGAACTGCCAAATAAGCTAACAATAGACAGCCCAAACAAATAACCTCCAAGACCACTCCCACCAATACTAACAGGATAAGTCACTATAATATAAACAGAGAGCAAACTCTACTCTTATAGTATTGCTGATGTTACCTAGTTTGGATAATGAAATGTCTGCAAAAAAACAACCAAGTTCAGAGAGCACCAACAACTCCTCATTTTTATCCTGAGCTACAAATATTTTTCTTTTATCAGTATTTTATTTTCCTATAAATTCATTTTAAGACTTTGGCAATTGCACATATAAATGAATCAAAGACCTGAAATGTTTGTACCTAAAATCAAAGAAGTCCAGAGCTGTCATTGTTTCTAGGACGGAAAATTGTTCCACAAGCAATTTAAGGATTATTGCAATTCTCTGCATTCGAGTAACCATCTTCAGCATGTTCCGTTCATCTTTCACCTTAGTTTGAATGTATATATAAAAATATTATGATTTGGCTAATAAAGCACAACAATAACAGTAAAATCATAACCCATAATAGACTGCTCTAATTATAACAGTTATTTGATAACATTTCCAAATTGCCCATCTTAACTAGGGTTTAATCTAGGCTTGTTTTGCCTCATCCACTATCTATTGGTCCCTCACAGCCACAATTTTTATATTTCCATATTTTCATCTCCTGTTTCCCGATGAGGTGATGTCCTTCTTTCTCTGCCAGAATATATCGGATTTCCCTCCAAACAATAAAATTTTCTTTCAGGTAACAGTGTATAGGACTGCAGCCTGAAGAATTTTAATTGTGCTCTTCAGTCATACGTTTTAGGGATTTTGTCTTAACTGGCATCCCCAAAATGGTAATTATTGTAGATCAGGGGTATAAAACTCGAGGCCCGCGGCTGGATCTGGCCCACGATGAGGTCAGATCCGGCCGGCATGGCCATCCCGGAAACTGTTAAGGGGCCAGCCCACATCACTTCAGCCATTCTGATGGGCTTGCGTGGGTGGGGACAGGACGGGGTGGGTGCATGTGTGACAGGCCCAGTTCGTCACTACCGTGAGCAGGGCAACAAAAGTAGTCTGGGACTACGGTAAAAAAAAAAATAGTCCAGACCTTCCAACTTTGCAAGATCTTTTTTTCATGAAAAGTGGGAAGGTCTGAACTGTTTGCCTTGCTTCATCTTCCACCCCACCACCACCTCACTTTGTCTTCCACC